TCTTAGTTATCTGTCATGTTCACTACTCTGTTGTTCTTAGTTATTTATCACGTTCACCACTCTGTTGTTCTCAGTTATCTACCACGTGTTTGCTTCTGTTGTTCTTAGTTACTTATCGTGCTTTCCACTCTGTTGTTCTTAGTTGACTATCATATTCGCTACTGTTGTTCTTATTTATCATGTTCATCACATTGTTCTTAGTTATCTGTCATGTTCACTACTCTGTTGTTCTCAGTTGTCTACCATGTTTGCTACTGTTGTTATAAGTTATTTATCATGTTCACCACTATTGTTCTTAGTTACTTATAATGTTCACCACTGTTCTTAATTATCTATCATCTTCATCATTTTGTTGTTCTTAGTAACTTATTGTTTTCACCAATCAGTTGTTCACACTGTTGTCCTTAGTTATCTATCATGATCATTAGTACCTATTATAACCACTCCTCACACTATCTGATTAGCATCAATAGATAGTTGAAAGAGTAGTCAAAGAATAATGTTTTTCAGTGTTTTGTTTCATAATATTGCATAAATGTATTTGCATACAATGTCTTTGTAATGAGGTAATAGCTTTGAGGCAAAATACAATAGAAAAATGGCCATGTTTTTTCCGGGTAGAAATTGAATATTCTTAGACAATTTCTACTAAGAAACTATACAGTATAACATTTTTACTAACCTTACTATTCCTGGATTAGAACAAAACATACCTTTTTTTGAATCATTTCTGTCACAAAATATTGACTAGAATAGGTACTATAACTATCACAAGTTTGTGGCATGCCATAAATATCAAGAAATCTTCACCATAGAACTGAGCATTCACGGTCCATAATTGAAAATGACTTAGAGACTTTTTTTTCATTTCACATTTAAAGTTTCATTAAAAACAAAAATCACTAATTTTCTCTATACAAACTGTATTTAAAGCCATCAGATACTTGTTCGTCACGTTAACTCCTATTTTTTTCTATGAACTAGCATAAATTTAGAATAATTCTGATTTTACTATTTTATTGCATTTTATTATCTCTTTGTAATTGAACTTTCTTCTTTTTGAAGAGTTTTATCTGATGAATGTTTCTTGCTAATAAGCATCAACATCATTAACAAAGGTAAGTGAATAAGGCTGAGACGGAAGAGTTTTCGTGATGAGGCACTGTCTGATTCTGTATAAAACTTCCAAGCACAATACACTACATAGATATTCAGAGGTAGAGAATCCACCACAAAAGTCCATGTAGTTAGATCAAGTACAGGTGCTGTGCTGCATAGAAAAACAATACCTATGCTGTATCTCAAAGCAGTTCGTTGGCAGAGTCCAGGGTCGGTCACTGACATCATACGATACCCAGCACGGGAATAATCAGGTCGTAGGTTCCAAGAGAGTGCATTGAAGTGAGGAAACTGCCACGAGTACAGTATAGCAGCCAGCAGCCAAGCTCCTGAAATAAAAAAGAGAGAGAGAATGTTAGTAAATGAAAAATGTACGCTTGTATATGCACATTTTCTCTTTTATGTTAAAATAAAATGTTCACATTGATCATTAATTTCAGTTAAAAAGGCAAGAAACATGACAGTTTTACTATCAGAGAATGTTTATGGTTATGTTAGCAAATTTTTAGTCATCACAAGTTTTTTCAGCCAAACAATTATATCCTTTAAATTGCTGTAGAACTCATCATGTAGAGAAAAATCAAGGCATTCTTTAGGTACACAAGTTAGTGTAACAGAAATAGTAAAAACTGAGTCTGTACTGTATATCTAAATGCTATACTGACATGTTTTCATGCTTTTAAAAGGAATGTAAAAGAAGAAACTACTTGACATTATTAATATATTTTGTAACTGAATATTAGTTTGTGAAATAGTACAGCAAAACCAGCACATTTTACTTAAATAACTACACAATGTTTGATGAGACTGATTATCAGAATTGCAATTTAAAGCTTTTATCTTGATAATCTTGTAACAACAAACTTAATGAATTATAGCAGATTACATACAAAAATGGTATATAATTAAATCTAGTGATTACAACTACAAACATTTACCTGGATCTAAAACACCAGAACATGCAGCCCAACCCATCATGGGAGGTATAGCACCAACCACTGATCCAACCCATGTGTTTGCAATACTGCACCGTTTCATTGGTGTATATATTGTGGTGTATAGCACTAAAGTGACTGCACCAAGTCCTGCTGTAAGGCTATTGACCCCAAAGAACAGAACAGACAATCCTGTTGTGGCACTTACTACAGCAAAAGTTACAGCATGTAGGGGGCTAGACAAAATATAGAAGAATCATACAATCAACAATAATCATTGTATTTAGTTCTTAATTTTAAAGAATTTTTACAAAATAGAATTCTCTACAATTACATGTCAAACAGTTATAACATGAGGAGGACTTAATATACAATTAATCCCAACAGTTTATATACAAGGAATAAGAAATTTACATAAATATAGATCTATATAATACAAATATATAAATGATTATCTATATTGATTCTATAGATAATATGTATGCAAGTTCTTGTTTTATTCTGTTTCAATATCTCTTACTAATGAAAGCATGAACTGAATCAACAAAATCAAGCAAATACTATTAAGAGTGACTAAATGAATCACATAGAAGTCTCAAGGTCCAGATAATAGTGTCTTCAAAAATCAAACCATATAGCTATCTTATCTCTTTGAAGATGTTTCATGTACATTAATACAACATTTACAGTTTTAGACCAAAAAACAACTCATTTGGGTGTTCTGTTTCACTTTTACTGTGCTATATTGTACTTTTACTGTACTAAATGTAGCTAAAACAATCACTCAAGAACAAGACAGAGATCAGAAATTTGCATACATCATTTTTAAATTGAAAACAGTACAAAATATTGGGTAAAGCAATGTAAAAGTTCTGTGTATACAATGAAATCTCTGTTACCAATACTCCAACCTTGTTTACTGTGAAAACACAAAATATTAAAAATAACATGCTTATACATAAGAAACTCTGATATCAACATATACTTCTTACATCTAAAAACAAATGTGAATAAATAATTCTTATTATGTTGCATAAGTTTTCTATCTACTATTGTACGCAAAACAATTATAATCTGAAGAATAAAATAAAATGAATTCTTAACGTATAATTGACCTCAATTATTTTTTACACAAAGTACAAAAGATAATAATTATATTAGAATTATCTCCTTTATGCACAAGTGTCCAATTACAGAAGTTACACAATAAAAGCTAAATGTCTTCACAGTTCTGAATAATTTTCCACACTACACTTATCAAATAAATACTGATTTTTCTTTTAGGAAACCATTGAATCCTATCAGTTATATATTTTATAGTCAATAAGAGTTCAAAAAGTAGTGGATAAAAATACCAATTTTCTATTAGTGATTTCTAAAGGAAGAATAGAAAAATTGTTATATTCTTAGGATTAAAAAGAACTTCAAACATAAACTTACCTCTGATATACTAAAAGTCCTTCCTTGCTGAGTTGCTCCTTTGTTGTCTACAACAATGTGACTCTGAATGTCTTTGATATAATGTAGAAGATCATATATCAATTTACACATAATTCTCCCGTTTCCCACCTTCCATATCATTCAGTTATGGGAAGGTGGGTAGGAATGCATTTCAGGGGTAAGTACTTGCTTGAAATTCATTTTAATCCTAAAAATGTAAAATTTAAATCAGGTAGACTTACCTCTGAAATACAAAAACCCAGAAGAAAGTCTTATAATAAGCATAAATATAAAGCATAGGTAAGAATACTGATGGAAAAACAGGGTGGAAGGCCACGTGGAAGATCCAATAACAAAAACTCAATTTGAAGGTCTAAAGTTTGATATGTCAAATGAACAGACAAAAAAGACCCCGTTAAAAACCAGGGGAGTAAAAAAGATAAGCCAATTGCAATCTTTGGAAATAATCTATTTCTAAAAGCATCAGATGAATCCAACTGTCATGAGAATGAAAATTATTCCATAATGAAATGTTGTAACAAACCATCAGAACTTTCTGATGTCACAGAAATTGGTTAAGATTTAATATGTTACATACATAGCAAATAAAAGAAATTAGTTTAGCAGAAGCTTCATCAGGACTGCAGCTGGCTGGCAAATTCTACTCCTCAGATAAAGGTGAAAAAAGCCTATACAAAAAACCAGTTTGTTTTCATAAAAATGAGGGTTGATGACCAATCACATTGGCTTCCATAAGACCCTGATACTAACTAGAGACACCCACAGAAGATTTGGCATAAATGGCCCAAATATGGTGGTCAATAAAGGCTGACAATGTAACCATGAGAATCCCCTGCATGCTCGCGGAAGACTGTGGGAATAAAGCAGCAAAGGAGGAGGATTTCTATCACTGATAGAAACATGAGAAAAAGCATTAACTTATTAGCCTTAGAATTGACATGAACATCAGAATTAAAACAAGAAAGAGAGCACACAAACTTAAGAGGATGACTGTTGACAAGAAAATCTGAATTATGATAGTAAAAAAGAGCTTATATAAGACCTCCTGATGCATATGCAATAAGCCATGTGGAAGTTAGGAGAATGGAGAAATATAGGTAAGATGACTTATGCTCTGCTTTGTGACAAGAACATTCAGAACTTTGAGTCACTTTGTTTTCGACAGTATGAAAGCAGCTCAACAAGAAAAGGCTTTCAGTATTTCAGAAGTTGATTAACATTATCTGATGTTTCAGACACCATATCTGTTTAAAAAATTATTGTAAGTGCAAAATAAACTGCACATTTTCAAAATATGTATAAACATTTGTTGAATATGCAAAATAATATTTAAAGTAAGCTATGTAATTCCTTCAAAAATTACAGATTGTCTTACGTGAGAATCCCCTTCACCAAGACACGATTCTTCGTTCGAACCATTTGAGAATCATAGGGTACTTCTAGAAACTAAGAGAAGCATCTAAACATAAATATGTATACATATAGCTTTACAAATACAGAATTCTCAAACATACCAGTAACAGTACATGAATCAAAAAATTAGTTTTACACATCTTGTGTGTTTATGTGTATAAAGTTTACATTTATGAGGATTATTTTACATTACTATCTTAGTATAAGGATTTAGAACTAATTTAAGCACCTAAGCATAATGAACTTTGTGAGAAATTGCAAGATGTAATCTGTCATTTTTTATTAATCATTATTTTCTTTATATTTCATATACTATTTAGTTGAGCTGTTATAATTAATTGTAACATTATTCTAACAGTGAGACAAAATGACTGACAGAGAGAGCACTGAGGTCTTTGTCATGATAACTATGGTCATATTTAAATCAGTACATTAAGCAGATATTTTGCCAATATTGTATTTAAACTCTTGTTATCTGGTAGAAAATAAAAAGAGAACTGAAGACTGATAAACCAGATGCTCAAGAATGTGGAATTTTAGACTGGATATTGCTTCAAAGTGTTACTAGTTATAATTCATGAGAGTTTGAAAGTGTTGTAACATCAAGTAGATTTTGTGGTGACTTATGATCTTAGGTTTCTTTCTTTTTTTTTCTGGTTGTTTTTCCTAACTTATTCTCTGGTATCCAGATCGTGTTGAGTTAGGTTGTTTTAGGTTGTGTTGCTTGCAAAAGTTCAGATTTGGAATTATTGAATTGTGAGTATGTTCTGTTTAGCTAATTAAAGTTCTACTAAATAATCTGTGTTTTTTAAGAATCCTGATAATAACATTTTAGTTATTCTTAGTGGAGAATAAATGATTTGTTACAATATTTATTTGAGTTACACCAGCCAAAAATATTTAATCAACGCATTCTAATCATTATTAGCTTTTGCTTCATGACATTCCATATTTCTAGTTAACCTGATATGTTAAATTAGCTGCATATTTACTAAGCTAACTTTCATATCTTATATGTGTAGGTAGTTTGCTTTGATCAGAAATTACTGATTATTTGCTAAAGCATAAGTTTAGAGATTATAAAGAACTCTTTTTGAAAAATCTATACATAATTTCTACAATGAGAACAGTGGTAAGTTTTTATAAATATGATATACTAAAATAATATACTTACACAAATATAAATTATATATAGGATAGATATTTTACTGCAAAATTTCTTTCAACACAGTGGACCAGTGCATACTACATTAAGCCTGTGACTGTGTTTGTTGACAGTTAAAAATATACATAGTTGTTGAATTGAAATAGATATAAAAAAATAACATAGCTGTGCAAAAAAAAATGTCAAAATGATTAATACAAACTTCTATTTATAGGACAACTATTGTCCAACGTTATAGTTTATAGTTATGTCATGCAGTGGTTCTTGTTTCATTATAAATCTTGTTTTTAATCAAAATGTTAAACTTGGGTTCAGAAAAGTTCAATGATTATTATGCTTGAAGTGTCTGTGTACCAGATATGATAACTTTTGTGAATTATTAGTTTTTATTAACACAATACAAAAGTTGAAATAAACTGCCTCTGAACTGGAAAGTATTAAATATAAAACTTTGATGACGTATGTGAAAAATATAAAATGGACATACAAAGAACAAAATGAAATAAACTTCGTATATATTACTTTTTTTGCTTTGAAATAGAGCTGGGCACTTAAATCAATTACCTATGAGTGAGCAGCAGTTACATCAATTCATGTCAAATAAAATACTTTATTAATCAAAATTATGATTAGATTACTTAATGCCATGAATAGTGTTTGGCAATTAGTGGTATTTGCTAATCAATTAATTGACAGCCCATTAAATGATTAAATTTGACAAATTGATCAGTACAGTGGCAGCCAGCCAGCAGTTCAACAACAACAACATACAAAAAAAAAAAAAAAGATGGGGAGGGGAAGTGGGTACTGTTAGACAATTGTCTTCCCTCAAGTAAGCAATTCAAAATCAGTGTGAGTGGAAGAAGACAACTTTAGTAGCTTTGCCATAATCAAAACAGGAAAAACATGTTTGGTAGCAATATTTCAATTACTTGGATAGTAGGAACAGTTAAAAATAGTAATAATCAGAAATTCTAATTTTGATTAGTTGATTATTTTTGTGACCATTATCAGCTTAACTGTAATTTTAGTTAATTAACTGTTGGAATAATCAAAAACAGTAAAAATTGGAAACATTAATTTTGATAAGTTGATTATTTTCAAGACAACTGATATAAATTAACCCTATGGATAACAGGCTTGGTCAATCTTGACCAACCTTGTAAACATGAAACTATACTTATTAATCTGAAGTGTATATCTTCATGAATTTGGCAAGCTTTTAGAAAACATTACAAATCTGGTTTTTAATAAAGTATATTTACTAAAGATTTGTCTGTGTATTTATGAAGTTTATATTGAGTCAGTCTGAGTGAAAGGTGATTTTCATGCTTAGACTAAAGTACTTCATCTCACATAAGCAATTAATGTGTTTGGAAGAAACATTATTTATAAAATAAGGGGACACAAATAAACGTTTCAGAATTCTATGGATTCCACCTTCAGTATCTAAAGCAGAATAAAAGAATTACATCATTCCTGCTTTAGATACTGAAGACAGAATCTGTAGAATTCCAAAATGTTTATCTGTGTTCCCTTTTGTTATAAATAAACAATTTTGTTCATCTTAAGCATTGTTATCCTTTTTATTGTAAAACTTCATCTCACAGTTCTCATATTTCATTAGTTCTTAAAAACTTCATGGTACAACTTTATACTTTTTCTCTTATTTTCTCTACGCTAATACTAACTGTAGCAACATTACATGTTGCAAAAGTTGAAAAAATATGAAATCAAATCAAAAATACCTTTTTTTGTATTAGAATGACTTCAGATTTTAACAGATAATTACAATAATTTATCTTAAAAGCTTTAGGGCTCTTAACATTTCCCAACTGCTTTCATCTAATTTAATTATTTTACAGCTCTTTGAACCATGTCAAGCACCTTCGAAAGCAGTAAATTACAAGATGTTATAGCAAAGTAAGTAAAAGATCAGGTTACATCATGCACATTGTAACTGCTCCCGAGTTGATGACTCAAGTTTTCTTATCTAATCTAACAAGTTTTTAATTTTTCCATTTTAGATACTTCTGTTAAAAATAAGATAGGGATGGAAGTGGACATATCACTTGATCTGGTTAATGAACACATATAAGACTAAGCCATCTCAACTTTACATGGAGAATAAAATCCCTACATTACTGGCTTCCCCACTTTGTCTATCAAAAGCTAAGTGTTTGAACAGAATCTTAGCTTTCATCATTATATCTTTCCTTTAGTTAACTTTAGAATACTACTTTTATGACTATTTTACAATAGAGTAACATTTTACGATTGTAAGTTCTGGTTCTATTTGTTTTGCCAGCAAGGAAGCCAGTGATGTAGGGATTTTATTCTCCATGTAAAGTCGAGATGACTTATTCTGCTACTTGTTCTGATGCTAATAAAATGGCCTTTCTATTGATAATAAACATGTACCATAGACAAATAAGTATGAGTAAATAAGTAATTACAAAAGCATGAAAAGATAGGAGTTCCTGTGGTTGATGTAATAAATTTATTGATATCTCAAAAATAAGAAAGTTGGAAGATTCTTATAATAAATTATAGCCTGTAAACATCTATAGTTGATGTATCTAGTTGGTGGGTATTTTGAAACCCATATAAAAGAAGAAATTAAATCTAAAATGGAAAATTCGGAGTAAAGAAGTATTATATGACACAGAAGAGTGAAGATTGAGAACTTATATAATTATTTCCTTTTTCTAAATTAAGAAATTAAAACTTTTACTAAAATTTGACTTATAAACTGCATTTTCATACCAAGTTTATTGACATTAGTTAATAGTAAATATAATTAAATTTTGAATGTAATTCTGGAGAAGGTCGTGACTGTTGGAATAATATTAAAAAAACAGTAATAATCACATATACTAATTGTAATTAATAAATTTAACCATAAGATTGATTATTTTAATAGCTTATGTGATGTTAATCCACATAATTACTTCTCATGGGTAATTCATTATATTAATTAAATTGGCAGCTCTGAATACAAAAATAATCAACCAATCAAAATTAGGATTAAATCCACAGTCATGAAAATGATACACTAATCACAATTAGTTGCTCTGATTATTATTATTTTCAATTATTTCAACTATCCCTATTTGAAATATTGCCATTATGATTTTTCATTATTATTTTCAATTAATTCAAGTTTGTTGTAACAAATGGCTTTCATAAAAAGTGTTCTACCCACTACTGTGTTAGTTATGTCTCAACTAGCCTGATGAGGTCTGGATTGAGTGAAACAGTGTGGTTGAAACACTATTATTACACATTCTTCTAATTCTTTAAAATCTCTAAGGGAATAAATAAAGAATGCAGTATTAAAAAATATAACCCTAATACTACTGTCTTATGAAAATAATTAATTAAATACAATTATGCTTCACAAGCTGGAAAAAGGTGTTCACACCATAACAATTATTGTTGTAACAAATGGCTTACATAAATAGTGTTTAAATCACTACTGTGTTAGCTGTGCCTCAACTGGCCTGATGGGCTCTGGATTAAATGAAACAGTGTGTGGTTGGAATACTATTACTATACACTTTTTGAATTCTTGAAAATCCCTAAGGGACTAGATAAAGAATACAGTGTTAAAAAATATAATAGGCCTAATACTGATGAAACAGTGTGTGGTTGGAATACTATTACTATACACTTTTTGAATTCTTGAAAATCCCTAAGGGACTAGATAAAGAATACAGTGTTAAAAAATATAATAGGCCTAATACTGATTAATTTTTCAACAACTAGTAATGTCACTAGCAGCTGTTATATTTAGTACTTTTTACGATTTATAATCAAGTATTCTTGATCAAAACTCATATATTCATTTTTGCATGTTTTGAAAAATACTTATATTTCTAGCAATGAAAATAACATGTTTATTTTCATCAACAAAAATTCCGTAATTTTAGTACAGTAGTCTTATGTAAATTTGTAGGAAGAAACTCACAGAATGCTATCAAATGTATTATTTTCAGCTTGTTACAAGTTTTGTAACACTTTGCATGTATGATACATTTTTATTCACAACAGTTTAGAACTAACAAGATAACTTACTCCTAAGTAATTGTACATAAAAACAGGATTTCCACTACATTTTACATTTTTTATCACAAATGTTTAAATCAATATACACTATTTCAACAATTATACCTCCAAAATGTTTTAAAATTGATATTTTGTCATTTTAACATTTATTTAGTGTAATTCATGAAGAATAATTTTAAAATGTTTAAATTTTCATTTCTCCACAGCTCTAAGGAGTTTTGCCTAAAAACAATGCACTTAATAATTTTCAAATTTTCTGCCCATCCAAAATAAACAATTTTTGCTAAGAACCTATCACCCCTTGAGAGTATAATATTCATTTTTTATTTTCAAGCATTTTCCTTGTCTTTTTTCTGCTTAACCTTTATATGATGTCACATAAAGTGGTTTGATCATTTACTTATTAATGAAACACAGATTTGAAAACAGCTATAAAGTTCAAATATTACTGAATAAAGCAAGGATAAGACTGTCACATAAACATTTTTGTTTGTGAATTTGGAGTGTTTGTGTATTATATATATATATATATGTTTGAGAGCTAAAGAAATTTTCTTCAAAAAGAAAGATATCAGATAACTTGAGATAAGGCAAGTTTATAAAGTTTAGAGAAAAGTTGAATGGATATAAAAAAAACAACTTTATTACAAGTTTAATTCAGTTACAAATGTACAATGTTTGCAATTGGTTTTTGTCAGCTACAAGTAGTTTACCTAGACAATATATATATATATATATATTTATATTCATACATAGTATAAAACAAAGAAGTCACATGACTAAAGATTGCCTAATGGTTTAGTTTAAGGTATCTTGGCACCTCAGAGTGATGGTGTCTTTTGAGTTACTATGGTTCTAAACATGAGGGTTTATTTTTATTATGTATACCAAATCAAATCATCATTAAATCAGGTAAGTTTAGTGAATACAATAAGTGACAACAAAATATTCTGATGACTCAAATTTTTATTTATTGTAATCTTTCTGCTTATCTTATTTGGTCAGACATAAACAAATTGGCTAATTATTACTAATTCCAATTGTGATATGTTTCACATAAAAACATTATCATCAGGGCCGGCGCTACCATTAGGCCAACTAGTCAGCCACCTAGGGTGCACACCTCAGAGGGGGCACAGTACTGACCTTTAAGGGTCACAGTTTTATACAAACTAGTTGTTTTAAGAAAAAACATTATAAAAGTTTTGTGCTTTTTATTTTTTCTACAAAACATCTGTTCTTAAAAATCGAAGTTGGCAATTTGTTTTTTTTTGGGGGGGGGTGCAAGTAGCTGGCCTTGCCTAGGGTGCAAAATAATCTGGTGCCGGCCCTGATTACCATCATTATCACTGATAGTGAAACATATTTAGTTGTTTGATTATAAATTTATTTGATTTACACAAGATCAAAGAGGGATTTCTGTATATCTTAAAAACAAACAAAATGGTGACTATGTGGCCATTTCATTCCTAGTGAACATTAGTGATTCATCAAATAGGAAATGTCCAGATTATCTTTTTAAAAAATTATGCCAAACGTTTTTACCAATATAATTTCTTTACCCAAAATGTGTAAATATAAAGTACAAGAAGTTATCTAGCATATTAAATGAAGGGTAATTCAAAAATTACTTAAAAAACAAACAAAACTATTGGAAAATAGGAATATTAATATCATATTAGAATAACAAACTCTTGAAGTTGGTACAACTTTTTTTTTTACTTCAGAATGGCCACCTTAGGAGGAGGTAACTCTGTCCAAATTGATCAATTGAATGTTATTGATTAATGAGCCCATCAATTAATCTATTAGCAAATAACATAAATTGCCCAGCTCTACCTTGAGAGAAAAAGTTGCATAAGGAAGTTTTAAATACCTGATTGATGGCATTTGCAGCACATGATGTCAGCCCTGTTCCAAAAGTTGCAAAGATAAAGGTTGTAGGGTCAAAAGGAGCAGGGGCCATGGCATATCCAACCATAGTTGTCATTACAACCAGAGCTGTTTATTGGTTCATCATACATGAAGAATAGGAGACAAGAGACTTAAAATACACTCGTCATTCACAAAAGCAGTTTTTAATTTCACATTCCTTTCTGTTTTTAGGAAAAACAGAAAATGTTAGTGTGAATACCTAATTCAATGGTACAAGAAAATAATTTACAAAAACAATTTTTCCATGTACTTTTTTTGTAGACATCAATAATTTACAGGATTTCGAACCTGATTTATATATATTGACAAACAAACTAGTTTTGTTGAGTTTATAAAATTAATATTCTGAAATGATAATAAATATATTGGTGATCCCGCAATAAAAAATCAAAATGATTAATATGATACCTTGTAAGCTAAGTTAGTTAGCATTAGAACATTCTATAAATTAATTAATTCTCAGCTCAAAAAAAGAAAGAAGCCTAAATAGATGTTAGATATTGCTTTTATTATTAATTAGATCTAATTATTAGAACTAATGGAAGGCTTAAAAAGGTACTACTAGCAATCATTTTATTCTTTAATGATCATGAACTAAACAAATATTTTAGCCTCGGCATAGTGGCTCACAGAACAGCTCTGACTTTTGTTTTTTCAAGTACAAACTTTTAGCTCATAGCTCCATCATCTCTTGACCAATTTGAAATCTAATTACAGTTTTGGACTCAGAAAGTCAAACCCTTTCGATTGATGTATTTTACCATGCCCAAGGTCTCATAGTTTAATTTACTCTAATCCTGCCTAAAAAAATTTCAATTTGAGGGTAGGCTGACAGAGATTCTGATGAGTAATGAAAATGAATCTGGTATACGCATGCCCCATGCTTGGTATTGCTGGTGCACAAAAGTGTAGCTAATAAAAAGGAAAAAAGGTCTTGTAGATTAATTTACTCTAATCCTGCCTAATCGCAGCTCTTGAGGAATCCCTCTTGTTTGACAATGTAAAAACAATTCAAATACATTTACTTCTACTTACCAGTTAAGCGTATTTTGCTTAACATCATGTAATGTCTTGGTAGGAGACAAACTTGAAGAACTTGTTCATGCCACTGAAGTTGGGTAGGACTCACAGCATTGACCAAATGAATGTCATTTCCTCCTCCTTTTTCAGTTTTTGGTAGTTCAATCTCTTCACCATTTTTTGGTAATAAACCATCTATAACTCCATATTTTTGTTGTGAATTACCATTAAATTCTTCATGAGAATTTTTGTTTGAAACACTAATCAGTGTTTCATCATGTTTTAAGTGTAAATAGTAGTACAAGCTCTTTTGCTTGTATATCTCATTTTTTAAGTCGATTATTTTTTTGGCATAAGGCACAAAAAGTACAGGAGCCTCAATCGTTTCAACAGATTTTTCATATGAAGATATTTCACTGTGTTCAACCTCATAATCTTTACTGCAGTCACCTGACAGAAGCTTTTCTTCATCAGAAGTTCCTACTGTAAAAATTGTTGGATTGTGAATCTCCAGATGAGATTTCCTTGATACTGATGACTTGTATATTTCCCATGGAGCCAAGCTTTTATCTCTTAGATTCACTGAATGAGGATGGGTAGCAGCAGCAACAGAAACTCCCGATTTTTTGGGGCTATTCACTTCATTCAAAGGAAATTTTGTTGCGTGCTGTAAACAAATCATATTAGTAACATAACAGCATACAACTTTTACATAATGCTCTAAAATTATGACAAAAACAATAATCACTACAGATTTGACTTAAAATTGCTTTTACACCAATGATAGTGTGTTCTATTATACTCAATTGCATTCCTGTAAATAGCTAGTATAATATAAATACTGTTTCAGTAAGCAATTATTTTCTCATTTAAGTCACAAAGGCTGAAAAAGTTGTACTTATTGTTCCTTACAAGAGAATGTAAGCAGAAACACTTTAAACCTTTCGGAACAAAAGTACAGTAAAAAGTAGAGATCCTGATTACATAAGAATATCTTCTAAAATGGATGTTATCTAAGTCAGAAGTACAGAACTTTGTTGTCACATACGTAAGTGACTAGATGATGGCTTACACCCATTTTGATAGATACAGCAGAACATTTAAAATCATAAACATTTTCAACAATTAGATAGTTATGTACACAAAAGTATATCGAGGTATACAATTATTGGAAAGTTAAATGCAACTATCAGGCAGCAACGTCAATTAATAATTTTTGTAAAATACAGACTTTGCTTAGTGAAACTGCAGATGTACACATATATGACATTTCTCTTTTTGCATAAATCTAGTAGCTAAATACACCTTTGAAACATGGTTTTGTTTATCAGTCATTAGAAGTTCACTAATGCAAATTACACCTATTTTCATTTAAAATCAAAAGTTTAAAATGTTCTTACTTGACAAAAATATAATGCATATTTTAACCCATACCTGCTTTAATCCTGCAACTCTAACGAACTTATAATATTGTACACATCCACGAGTTTTGACAATGTATGATCGGATGCGAGCAGTTGTCATGAAAAGCATTGTCTTCTTCTCAACTTCCTACTGACTTAAGTATAATAGTTTCATTCCACTGCTCTCATCATGCCCTGAATAAAAATAGAAAGGAAACTACATTATGGTGGATTGTTATGGAGTTTATGGTGGCAAGTCCTAATTCATATATATATATATTTTGAGATGTTGCCATGCTAAAATATGAGTTGAAAAATTATATATTTTCTAACATCAATAAACCTTCAAATTCATTCACATATTTATCTGTTTCTCAATAAAAAAGGAAAAGTTTCACTGGCCAAATACTGGGACATTATCCAGTCAGCTGGACTAGACCCAGGAAAAGTGGATTTCCCAAGTTTATGTAGAAGAGGAAGTCACAGCATCCCTATTTACACAGATAATGTTCCATAGTTTACTAGCCAAAGTATAGCATCTTGATGTTGTGTAACATTGTTATAGAGCCCACACAGGAAATAAGCTGTTTTCTAACCAGAGAACAACCAGCATTAACTCAAGCAGTTATCAGTTTGAGGAGAGATAAAGTCCAGGGATGATCAGCAATTATGAATGATTAGTTATCCAGCTTCAAGCTGGAGAGGTCATTGGCACAGTAAGCAAAGGGTATGCTAGGGTTGCATCCATTGTGCCATGTTCAAAAGTGAATACACAACTGGCAACAAATCTGAGATCTATAGATGATAATTGTGCAAACATTCTAGACCCAATGCAATTGCAACAACACAGTGACTTTTTGACTGAATATGCTGAAGTATTTGTGGGACCAGATGGTCAACTAAATCAAACAACAATCACACAGCATCACATAAATACAGGCGATGCCTGTCCGAGTAAACAACTAAAGCACCTACTTCACTGTGCTAGAAATATAGTTAGCACTAAAGAACAATAGATGTTAATGAACTGGATCATACAGCCTTCATCGAATGTTTGGTTGTCTCCAGTAATAAGAAAGAAGAAAGGTGTAGCCAGGTTCTGTGCTGAACTTAGCTGGGTGAATGTGGTAACACAAACAAATGAATGTCTAGACGCATTGGAAAGGGCCCATTGGTTCAATTTGTTGAATCTAGCATCTGGATTCTGTCAAGTCAAACTTGATGATGACAGCAGATCTAAGACTACTTTTAGCACAATAGTTTGTCGTGCCATTCAGCTTGTGTAACATGCTTGGCTTTTGAAAGGCTAACAGAGAATACACTAATGGGGCTTCAATGGGTAAGTGCTTGATCTACATTGATGATGTCATAATATTTGGTCACAAATTTGAATCTCCAGCTAAGAACCTGTAAATGATATTCCAAGGGATAAAAAAAAAACAGGCTTCAAACTTAAACCAAGAAAACTTGCATTCATGCACACAAAGTGAAATGTCTTGGTCATATTGTGGGTAGAGATGGAATCTCCATGGACCCTACTAAAACTGTCAGAGTGTAAGATTGGTCTCAACCTGTGACAAAGAAAGAAGTCCACAGTTTGTTAGGTGTACCATCATACTATCAACAGTTAATGGCCATCTTCTCCAAGACTACCACACCCATTACTAGTTCTCACTAAAGTTGAGCTGCACTTCAGTTGGAGTGAGAAACATGGGCAAGCATTCCAGTTCCTGATGCATACTTTAGTAGAAGCACCAGTGTTTGCATATCCATTACAAGATTGTGAGTTCTTGTTGGATACAGATGCCAGTGATAGTGGAATCAGAGCAATGTTATTGTAGTTACAGGATAGAGTAAAACTTATATTTGTGTACATTAGTTGCAAGTTCAAGTCTTTTTAATACAAATGCTCCACAATTAAGAAAAAACTGCTTACAGTTGTGGTCTTCATAAACCACTATCAAGTTCACTGTTAAAGTGTGCCACACATTGCTAAAATGGTTGATGAACTTTGAAAACTTTAAAGGGATGAAAACATATTGGATAACAGTGATTTACTCATACAATATTGTCCAAGCCTGAAACATGAAAACACTGACAAATTGTCTCAACACATTTTAAGACCATGTCCAGTTGATGAATGCATGATCCCGGACATCATGTAGGAGCTGAAATGATTTCTGCCATAGTGATGACAAGTCATACGATAGGAGAATCCACTAATAAATGGATGCCATGATTAAAGCTTCAGTAGCTCCTGAAAGAGCAACTGAATGACCCAGATCTAGCATAGGCACTTCTTGCTCTAGGTGCGATTGAGAAAAGTAGCATGAACACATGTAACCTATGACACATGCATGAGCATTTGTAAGTGCAGGAAACCATGCTGTACCATTATTTCAACCAAGTAGTGGTTCTCAACCTGTGTTACATCTAGTAGTCCCCAGTCCTTTGAAGCAGAGATTCTCCAGACTTTGTATTACAGAAAGGTGTTACCTTCACTTGTGCTAGCATTCAACTATTAGCTGCAGTTGAATCAAGACATTCACCAATGATGTCAATATTGAATGGGATGTGTCAATTAAAGAAAAAGCTGGCTTAAACAAGGTAAACTCCAGCAAATAGCTCTGGATATCACTGGCACACTCCATAAAATAAAGGACACCTGTATATAAGTGGCTGATGACTACTTCACAAAATGAGCCAAGGCTTATCTACTGGTTAATACATCAGAACAGTTGATGGCTATTGTTTGGATAATCTGGTTCAGATAACCTGAAGGGGATACATGTGGATCAAGGAGCTAACTTTAATAACCAACTGTTCTCGGAGTTGTATACATATACAGTGTTGGATATTGTGAAGATGTACATTTTGCCTTATTCCTCTCAATTGGATTATTTAGAAGAGTGGATAATATAGACTGCCAAACATATACTTGCTAAGTTGGTTAATTAACACCAAACCAACTGGGAAAAACACTTACTTTTGTCATACAGCGTATTTCACAACTGAACATGCTCAAATTTGGATGAGAAGTCTTGCTCTTTGTAGATGTTACGTACGGTCTTTCCCCTAGAGTAAATATCCCACAACTATCACAAGAATATAACACAACAATTAATGAGCTACTATGCCAGGGGGAATTTGGGTGTAGCTTCAGTAAGTGCAAGCAGAGTAGAAGCGACTCAGCCCTGGATGGACAGGAACTCATCTTGTGCTCCGAACAACTAAGCCCATTAATGTTCAATTTACTTGATTTACAGAAGTCAACTAACACAAAAAAAAATGTGGACAACACATGTCAGCCAGCTTCATTACTATATTTACAACAACAAAAATATAATAAACTGGCTTGAGCAGAAAAATAAATTATTTTGTTGTACTCCACCCCAGAAAATACCTGGTTCATTCAGGATGAGCCAGAAAGTGCCTGATCTATAGACAAAAGACAGCTCCAACAGTTAGTCAAATCACCTAAGATGGCCCACTGATTGATATGTCTGGGATTTAACTTGATTGCCAAGCAGTTAGGATGGTTATTAGATCAAGAAACCAATGATTGAGAGACAGCAGTGTTCCTTGCTTTCTGAGTTATTGGGTAGTATTGTAAGAACAATGTATGCACTACATTGTACAATTACCATTCAATTACTTAAAAGTTATGATAGTTTTTGATCATATGATTAGCTGAGCCAAAATGGTTTTGCAACCCTTACTTTCTGAGCTATGAAGCAGAGTTTCATTATAAAAGATATCCATAGGACATCATATGATAGCTGTTTGATTAACACAGTTTAGGACAGCTGGTGCCAGAAGATGTAATGCCTAGTATATCAACAGTAAGTACAACCAAATATGGAGTTTGAAAATTTGGTTTAAAAAAGTGTCAAGACCTGTACTTTCTGAGCTATCAAGTGATTTTCTGTGGCAAATTGTCATCTGACATTTCACAAGAACCACTCAACTGATCTAGAGGAGTAGGGAGAGTTTTACACAGCATACCATATGATCCCGCTAGATTTTATCTGGTACACTTGAAAGGCATATAACTTCTCTGCTTGCAGTAAGAGTTCTGTTTGCTTTGAATATATACTGATATATATTGTAGTAACAGCACAAATATTAATCATGGAAGCAGTCTGTTCTAAGCTATTAGTATAAGTAACAACATGTAATGAAGATATATGTATATGGCAATTTAAATGTATAAAGAAATATAATAAATATATGTGTATGGCTTAACACACATAAATGAACCTTGCATGAGTGTTGTATAACACCAATAACTCAAACAAATCAAGAACAAAACTATTAAGCAACATGTGAATGGAAAAAAGGGCTCTGACCTGGATATTGAGACCTTCTGAAATGAGGTTAACTATGATTACTGAAATGTAAGCTATTATTTGAACATAGAGTGCAACTGTTATTTTCACTTATAACACTGAGAAGAATATTTCAATGTTTACAATGAAATATTTGCCAGGTAGTTAATAAATTTCTCATTGAAGGATATGCACAACTGACAGACTCACACTATGAGAGAAAACACACCTTTAGTGCAAACTGTTTCAAATGAATTGAAACTAGCAGTATTAAGCAAAATTCACAAAAAGTAGCTTTGACACCATAAAAAACAAACTTTTGTTTCAGGTTTAATTATTAATTAAGTATTATTTTATTTCAAGCTACAGCTTTTACAGTAAGGCAGATTATTTTTTAGAACAGGTATGACATTTCAATCACTGGTAAAATCATTCTCAAGAATGCTCACACCAGTGGTTGAAACATCACACCTGTTCTAGAAAATATATTCCTTACTATAAAAGCTGTAACTTGTAATAAAATAAAATATAAATTTTGTTTTATTTGGTTGTGATGGGATATTTTTAATCATGTAGACTAAAAAATCATATTTTTTTAACATAGTTTAAGTGAAAGATGCAGTTAACGATACATGAAAATTCAGTCTGTAGGTATATGGGGGTAACATCTGTGTGGTGAAACTTTGAAAATTGCAACTAGGTAATAATAAACTCATATCTGGAAAAAAAAAGTCTCAATACTATAGTGATGGTGGATTCTAATGATCAGAAGTATAGGTCAGCATCTGCTAACATGAGTCAGCTCAGGTATGTAGCAACAAGTTTTGCAGTCTCGACCCTATTCCTTTCATAATAGAGCCAGT